TTATGCCATAATTGTTGTATAATTATGATAAACGGTTTAATTACCCAAGTTTGAGGTTTCCGGCATTGTGACTACCACTTACAAGAAGTCCCGCGTGGCATACACAAAGGCGAGCAGCAAATTCCGACCGAATCATAACTACTTGGTATTCCTATATAATCGAGCCGTCCCACCATATACAATTTATACATACACACAACAAGTATCCTACATGAAATTAACAATATCTAAATACTACTTCTTATTCTTGCCTACCTTTCGTTTCTGATTGCTACGATGGGTGGTGTGGGACTCTCGGATAGAGGGCGTTCCGGGATAAGTTCAATGTAATTGTAAAATATTTCTATGCATCCCACGTGAATGTGTTTGGATGATGAACCGTAGTAAAATGTAGCAGACAGTACCTTAATTGTACCCCTAGACGATGAAGCAAAACCCACAGTCCTCTAGCTATAGAAAACTTAGAATTTCTTATCGAAAAAAACTTTCATCACTGTGTTTAAATCGGGGACATGTTCTGCCGTTTTTGCAGCTTCTGTGAAATCAACAGTGTTCAGAACGTGCTTATGGAGATGTTGAATTGATATTTTACAGTTACAGGACGAATTGGCTGGACAGCGTTGGAGTATGTTCTCTATTTAGTTCAAAGCCGTTCTTGTATAAACGGATCCAGTCGACAAACGCCGTTCAATCATCGCAGTGATATACTCGAAAGTAGTAGAGAAGCGTGAGTCATCTCAGCCTATTCGTCATTTTATAGGGATATCTCTATGACTGTGGAAATTTTCAAACCGACCGTCGTTTGATCTCGATAACAAAATAAATATTTGCTGAAATTGTTGAGCTAGCACGAGGTTGATATATGGAATCCGTGTTGATGGTCCACATGTTCTCCATAGCTGTTCATCTTTTCGATGTGGCATCTTCGTCGCTGTATCGAGGCTGATTTTCTTCAGTGGAACACCGTACGATTGAGGCATCCTCACTCGGCAGTGCTCTTTAGCCAACGTTAACCGAATGAATCTATATATCAACCTCGTGTAAGCTCAACAATTTAAATCTATGGCTTTATAACTACTATAATGCTGAGATATTTGCAAAACTCCGGACCGCAGGTGTCTGCGGTGGGGAACGAACGCGCTATTGTCCTTTCCGGAGAGCAGCGCGTTCACCACCACACCACGCGGGTCCTTCGTTTCGCCTGTCTCTCAGCTAGTTGAGTTGCATAGTCGAACAGAAATTTTCTTTTCATGGTAGATATATAAGTGGGTTTTTTCTCCAAGCAGTTTTTTGCTTTAAATAATTACCTAGCGTGCGTTATGATGACACTGTTACACTACTCAACCGTACGTCACTTAAGTGAAAATGAAGATCAGTAAACCAATGCGGCCCTCTAGCGTATTAAGACTTCTTATGGGAGCCATCAGTGCGAACAATTCTGGATACCTCATCCTTTTCAAGGGAATGTATTTATCCATTATCATCGATCTCATTGGTATAGAGAATCACCCTATTTTCATGTTGATACGAGTTTGAACTGACAACGAAAGCCATGCTGTTTACAGTTTAACCTTTCACAGTAAGAACAATCCAATTTTTTATTGCAATGTATTCCACGTGACTCATCAAAGTAATTATTAAGCGTTTCCCACTTCCTACTTAGATGACGGTGACATTAGCTTCTCGACGAAAAGAAGTTTCTTGCTACATTTCACTTCTATTCCACCACAGAGAAACGAAAATAAATCCAACATTATTTATCTCGTATAAAACCTCCATACATCTCGAATAGGTAGTAGGTCACCTAGACACTGGTGGATCCAGCAACTCTTAGAGTTGGAAGAGAAAAATTCCCTAGGAAATTACCATTTAACGGATGGCACATGAGTAATGGGATGAATACGGCAATTTAAAACAAATGTATGAGTTGATATGACAGCACCACAAATGGATGGATCGTATAACAACGAACCAGCAAGGAGAACGAGGAATCGCAGGTCTGTAAATAGTACTCCTACGAACGTTTTAGTCAAGAATAGAGGATTCTCAAATGGTACATGGAATGACTGATATTCAGATTACAATAAAATTTTATTCACGAATAAAGTGAAAAACGTTAGAGTACTTATATACGCGCTTGCATACCACCGTTAACACCAATTGTCTCTCCAGTTATATAACTCGCTTCGTCTGATACCTAAATCGAAAGAAAGCAATCTGCATGAATTTCTTGGCAGTTGTCTTGAGAATGAGTGTATTTTTTTCTTTTTCCCGAAGTTAAGGATAATTTTAGGACGTTTTTCAGGGTTTCCAGGGATAGGGAAAGAAAGCGAGACCGAACGAATGCACAATTATCGAATTACACAGCTTCTTTTTTTTCCGAGAAGCAATCACTAAGGAAACATTCGTTGCAAGGAACATTAGGTTTCACCACCAAGACTTCCTTCTTACTTATGACCTACAGTGACAAAAGGTTTGTTCAAATGCAACGCATACCTCCTAAAGGCAAAAAGAATTTCCCCCTAAGAAGTCATGGAAGGAACGATTACCAAAGAATGAGCATAGAAACCAGGTCCTTGCAACAAGAATACAACAACTTACCAGGAATGCCACAACATCAGCGCATTCATCAGCTTCTCCTAGCCGATTCAGCGGGATCGTTCTCAACCAGTTTTCATGATCAACTTCATTAATATACAACGCTCGACTGAAGTCCGTTCGTATAATTCCTGGAAAAGTGAAAATATAAGAGGGAAAGCGTCAGAAAACAAGAAAAGGAATGGGCAACAACAAAAAATCCTGGTACCAAAAAGAAAATCCCAGAAATTACAGGTAGATTTTAGACTTTAAAGACAATAATAAGACTTTTTATAAAACAACTGAAATCCATAGAATTCGACATGGGAAACAAAGTCAAATTACTGCTTTGTCAGTTAGGGATCACGTAAGCAAAACGATATAGGTGATCCAGGAATCAAATATTAACTTGCAAAAAACTGTAAATTCTATGGTGAGTGTACTGAATTATTTTCTGCGACACTAATCACACAATCCATGAGTACACATATGTAAAAAAAAACTCTGCCGCGGTATATGTTCTAACTTGCAGAAATTTTCGAGTTCCACAAAAAGGGATAAATGATAAAGCTGTCGGCGATGATCGAGCCTCAAGGATGCGCCGTGCGTTAAACTTCATTAAGCATCGTTTGGAAGTGAGTGAATGCATATCTGGCTTTTACAATGTCTAGCGGTGGCCTACCGATGTATCGAGTCAGTGCTGCTATCCTCCCAAACAAGTCTGTTACCAATTTGCCGACTCTGGAGAGATGGAAGGCTTTGTGTACTATGGGCACGGTGGTCAATTCCACGTGTGTGTTGCAGGGCATCTCCGACCACTGCGCCACGCACACCTCTTGTCTTACGGACTAAAATGTCTCCATAGTTCGGACCACGCTAGCAGAGTGCGTGCGAGCGATGTTATTCATCACTTTAAGGAGGAAATGTTACGTCTGTGTGGATAGAAATATTTCAAAGCCAAATATCAGTTAACAAACGTTGAATCCAATATGCTGGACGTCATGTTTTCAAAGAACCGATGCACTAGAGTGATGTTTAACACAGACTCATGGGTGAAACCGGCTAATAAATTGTTAGACTTCTCACAAGTGACACGGAAATAAAACTGGTTGCTTTTTGGACAATCAGGGTTATACCAGCCCATCCAACACTTTACCGCTTCATCCTAGCTGGGAGGTGTTCCTGGGTGTCGGGCTGTGATGTACAGCTAGGAGATTCGTCCCCAAAATAGAGTCTCCCATGCTGAGGAGTCCGACATTTCCAGCAGGAAGCCCAGCCAAGAGTAAACCAATACTAGGATCCACCACCGTCCTGGTATCAAACTAGTGGCATGGTAGCAAATTCCCCTCTGATCCAATAAGGACGACGACTGCCTTTCCAGGGAACAACAATGTCTTAACCAACAAATCTCCGGAGAACAGAAATTATGCTGGAGTCCGCACAACCAGTGAAGACGGGCTATCCAAGTATCCAAGTAGGTATTAGAAGACTTTAGTAGGAGACAGAGACGGACGGAGACATTAAAGGGATCTTTAAGAGACCTGCCAATTAAAGGTGGAATAACGAGGACCAAGCAAGCCAACCAATATACGTCAAAATGCGTCAAAGAACTTGCTCCTATGATCTCATATAGGAATTGTTGTTGAAATTATAGAACAAAAAGAAGTGCTCAGACAGTGTTGGCAAACCTGGAGCAATAGCGTTCACTCGAATGTTCCGCCTAGCAAGTGATTGGCTGAGAGCTTTATTGAGACCAATGAGGGTGCTCTTCATTATAGAATAGGCACCAAGTCCATCAAGAGGGGCATAGCCAGCAATCGACGAAACCAGAACGATATTACCACGACCACTGGCTTCCAAGTGTGGTACAGCTTCTTGAGTTAACTGGAGGGAAGACTGCACCTGAAATGGGCATATTTTAACCCTTGCAATAGGCCTTAAACAAGGATGTAGAAGAACGCACACCATGCGTTTTGATATCGTGACAAGTTATTTGCATTTTGATGACGCAACATTTCAACTTCAGTGGTATCATTGCGACAATCAAAAGTAACGAGAAAAACAAGTGCAATGAGAACAGCATTAGAAATTCTTGAATAAAGAGATCAGCTTTCGTTGTTACCTCAATACCTAAGCCACAGCGGAATCTCTTCGACAAATTTTGTGTCTTCACAGATTTCGAAGCACATTAATATTTCTTGCGCAAAAGTAGAATGCCTCATGTATTAACACCTTATGCGCGATAATCGGATGTCTTCATACAGTGTTTCAATAAATAAATAAAATAAATATCTCCGAACGGTTTACCGCCTCATCGTGGCTAGGATGTGTTCTTGGGTCTCGGGCTCCGATGTAAAGCGGGTGGATTCATACCACCACCTCAACAAAGGTCTTCTATGTTGAGAAACAGTTCCGCGCTTCCATCAGAAAACCCAGCTAAGTATAAACCAATACCAGGATCCAACACCGCCCTGGTATGAAAGTAGTCACATGGTGGCAAATCTCCCTCTGATCCACAAGGGCTGCGATTGCGTGTGGTGGTGAGCACCTCGGGCAGGCTTTGGCTAGGCTGACCTCGGCACTCCAGGGAAATACAATGGGTAAACCAGAAAACTCCGAAAAAAATGGAAATTTTGCTGGGGCCCACAGAACCAGTGAGGACGGGACGTGCAAGTGTCCAAGCAATTAAGTTTCAGTAAATAAACGAAAATAAAGCGAAAAGTTAATCATATAAACATATAGCGGGTATGCGTAGCATTCTGCACCCTTAAGTCAACACAATGGCTTACGGTTTCAAGTGAGAGATTCTTACAAAGTTCCGTTATAATATGGATGATTCACACACCCAATAATGTCATTTACTCTAACAATATTCGATGAATATCCACCTTCCATACTCCTGTCATCCCATTATGCCCACACAAATCATTATGTAATGATGATAATTACAGATTCTCTATAAAACGGTTGAAATTAGAGAAAAGAATAAGACAGCGAAAAAGTAAAGATCAATAAACCCACATTAATGTTAAGCATTTTGTCCCATTGCGAGTCAGAAATGCTCATGATATCACCAAAATGGGGATTGACAGCTGCGTTGGAAACGAGGATGTCGAGTTTGCCAAATCTAAAGCTGCCAAACAACAATGTGAAAAACAATGTTATGTAAAGCTGAGTATAAGTCACTGAATTTGAGAAGAGAAACAATATCACTTATAAGCAGTCTAGAAATGTGATAAGAACACAAAAGAAAAAATTACATAGATACTTGCAAAGGACACAAACCGATCAATAGCGAATTCTATCAATTTTTTGCGATCCTCTTTAATCCCAACGTGTGCGGTCACTCCTGCAGCATTTATACCCTCAACTCTTAAGGCTTCGACAGCTTCCTAAAAAGGTGTTCTTCCAGCTAAAGCAGACACCGATTGAGGTCCATATAAAGCTGTGAACCACTGTCGTCCTTGTGGGAAATGCACTCAAATATGTCAATCTCCGAATGTACAGTGCAAATGATAACACAGGACATTAAATAGTCACCAAAAACTGATCCAGTCACATTTTTCACACACTACAAACGATGGAAAAATAAGCTGAATAAATCCAAGATCGACTTTCTATTAACCTCGGCACTGGATTAGAAATGTTTAGTTTTCTTTTTCAGCAATCGCGTGGTTGTTATTCAGCACACGTTTACTTCCGTACACAAACACAAATAACACAACGGTAACTAACATCTCGGCAGAATCGCCTTCTTCAGAGCCTGGAGGGGTATTGATAAGAATTTACTACACCCAAACGCTTCAATAACACATTCAGAACGATGTAAATAACCATAATTACAAAATGAACAGCTTCTTGAAAACCCACCGTTTTTACGTGAATTCAGCTGAGGAGGAACCGCTGATTGGAGTTACTTTACGGGTGTGTTTTTCGAGGTGTTGATCGTGTGACTGCCATATAGATTTTTGTCTTTCTCTATGTGTTATTGAAGCGTTTGGCGTAGTAAATTGCGTGTCAATATACCCTTCCAGACTCTGAAAAAGGCGATAGTGCCGATACGTCGGCTACTGTGTTGTATGTCCTATGGGTATGGAAGTAAACGTGTGTTGTATAATAACCTCGCGATTGCTAAGAAATAAAACGACACATTTATAAACCAGTGCCAAGGTTAATAGAAAGTCGATCCTAGGATCTCGCCACCTCATTTTTCCTATGTTTGTAGTGCCTGAAAAATCCGACTAGATCAGTTTTTCGATGAATCTTTAGTGTCCTGCGTTAATATTTGCACTGTACATTCGGAGATCGACACCTATACAAATTGGACAGATTTCTTTTAGCGCGCGAAAAATGAAATTGTAAGTATGCGACGAGTGAATGAAAAGTACCAAAAACGCCTGAAATACCCCGGATCTGCAAATCTTCAAAAAAAAAAAGAATAAGGAAAGCAAGAAAGAGAAAGTCATAACGAATCATGAGCCATTCCTTCTTCCGGAATGGAAAAGCAAAACAGGTTAAGAAAGAGGCAATACCTCGACATTTTTTGACTTTCTGCTGCTCACAACAACGGAGGCTCCATCGGCTCCTAAGCGCTTTGCAATAGCAAATCCGATACCCTGAAGACTATCGATGAGAATTTCAACACGTTCAGAAGAACTCAGCAACAGTTACTTGTTGTGAGCTGCGAGTAACTACCAAGCCATGTGAAGTAGCACCAGAAATCGTTAACCACTTACTTTAGATGAGGCGGAAACGACAGCTACTCGATCTGTGAGGAACTTTGTCGCCATTTGGCCTGCCACTCTAAAAATCTTAGTGAAATTGTGTTATTACAATTTTAACTTACTATTTTCTGCCTATTCTTTTTTAATGGCAGGGTATATTGCGAAATATAACTCTAACGATGGTGAGATATTTACAAAGCTCCGGACCGCAGGTGTCTCCGGTGTGGAACGAACGCATTATTGCCCTTTCCGGGGAGTAACGAGTTCACCACCACACTATGCGGGTCCTTCGTTTGGCCTGTCTCTGAGCTAGTTCTATCGATCTTTGCCCCACAGCAACCACCCGTCAGCGGGATTGATCTGGGGGGACCAAGTGTTATTACAATCTACAGGTAGTCATGGGCACGAGAGAATAGCGATGTGTGAGTGTCGAATGGCTATTAAGGGAAGAGCGACCGTGAGATGGCCGTGAAGCTGACACAGTCCGACCGACGCGACTATACGCGCGACGGCCGACGAGCGGACGCAGCTGATAACGCCGGCCGTCCGTCACGGTCCACCCAGGTCGACCTTGGGACTACCTTAGTCAGGCTTAGGACTGCTATTGGACTCGAATGGTCTTCGTTGGCACCCATCCACAACCGGTTACTACTCTGAATTGCTGATTTTTCTCGAATAAATGTAGAGAGATCCGTCAAGAAGCTTCTTCGGCCCGTTTTAGGTATGTGAAGGGTTAGAAGTATACATGCAGAAAACGACGACAACATAAACGAGAGACAGGCGAAAGGAAGGAACCGCATGGTGTGGTGGTGAACGCGTTACTCCCCGGAAAGGACAACAGCGCGTTCGTTCCCCACCGCAGACACATGCGGTCCGGAGTTTTGCAAATATCTCAGCATCATTAGAGTTATATTTCGCAATATACCCTGCCGTTAAAAAGAGTAGGCAGTAAATAATAAGTTAAAATAAACATTTTATTTAGAAGTAGCACGAAATTGGCGATGAATTTCAGACCGATTCGCAGCAGGACGTTCCGTCAGGCATGCGCTCTGAGACAAACGTTTCAGAATTGTTGCACGACCACAAACTGTGTAAAGAGATGCTTTTCTTTTGCTCTCCTTCGTCAACAGGAACACTTCCGTTGTAAAGAATGAGCGGCAATGGTCACACTGGTCCTGTCTTCTTACAATTTTATTTTTATTTAACTCTTCAACAGTAAATTTTAATTCTAGTGATTCTTTTGAATTCACTCTTCTGATTTGTGTAGACGAATCTTCTCCTTCGAATCGTATTTTATTGTTTTACAATCTTGCTGCTAATCTTTTACAACGACAACTATGCTGAGATGTTTGCGAAACCCGGACCTCAGCCAGATTCGAACCCTTCGTAGTTAGACCATTATGGCTCTCTTTCACATAGCACGCTGCCGTGAAGAAGTAATAAACAGTAAACAAAAAGTTGAGCTTTATTCAATGTTTGGTTTGAATGGAGCAAATTCAAAAAGTCAACCTTGTACGGGGTTTCAGTTTGTCCAATCAAATTCGTTGTTCAAATTCCTATTGCATGAACAAACTAGAAACGGCTAATAAACATTGTTTTTTCTTTATATTGGTGTATTTTTATGGTTTGTGTTTTCTTAACTAAACAACAATAATCAGTAATTTCATCGATTTTGAGGGCTTAATTTAGAACCCCTCCCAACGGTTTGCCGCCTCATCGTGGCTGCTAAGTGTTCCTGGTTGTCGGGCAGCGATGTACAGTGGGGAGATTAGTTCCCCAAGCAGGGTTTCCCAAGCTGAGAAGGAGTCCGGCGTTTCCATTAGGAAGTCTAGCTAAGAGTAAACTAATACCAGGATTCTTTATCGTCTAAAAATCTAACAAGTACTTCACATTCATTTTCAATATCAAGAACTACGAAAGTTGTAATACGTAAACTTTTTGATAACTGTTAACCAATAAGACAAGGTAAAAGACAAGGGCGCGTGTGGCGCAGTGGTCGGAGGCGCCCTGCGATGCACACATGGGATCGATCCTTGCCCCCTTGGCTCGCCAAGCCTTCCATTTCTTCGAGGTCGGCAAATTGCTACCAAATTTGTCTGGGAGGATAGCAGCACTGGCTCAATACATCGGTGGGCCACTGCGAGTTATTGTAAAGGCCAGATACGCATTCAATCTCCTCCAAGCTTTCCTTAATGAAGTCGAACCCATGGCGCATCTCTCCGGAATTGATTAGCGCAGAGAGCTTTATCGTTTTTCTTTTAAAAAAAGCAACGGCTGTTAGAAGTACTAAAATGACAATTGCAACTGCTTGTACCTCATTTTTTATGTTATTTCCAAAAAAATTTACCTGAAAATTTGTGTACTTTCGTTTAAAGATAATAGTTTTATTATGTTAACTTTTTATTTACTGCCGACTACAATTTCTTCACGACAGGGTTTTATGTGAGATAGAGCCGTAATGATGGTGAGATATTTGTAAGGATCTGGACCGCAGTTGTCTACTTTGAGGACCGAACCTCGCTATTACCCTTTCTGGGAGCAACACGTTCACCATCGCACTATGCCGTTCTATCTGCCACTGCTATTGCAATCAGTAATTTTATTATTTTGATTTAATTAATCTAATTTTAATTTTAATTTCTTGATTTTAAGTTTGATGTTGTTTATCAACGTCTGTTGAAAATTCCTCTTGACTGCTGGTGGTTTACGAATTCGAAGTTCTTCCTGTCATGTTTTGAAGTGACGATGTACAGCATTATACTTATGGAACGGAAACATATTAATTCCGATCACTGTATCAATACCCTAGTTATAAAGTTTTCTCTCATGAAGAAGAGCACGGGTCATTTAAAGACTTTGACACCGGCACTAATCAATTTGAATTTTTTTGCTGAATTATTAAATTCATTATACATAGTTATTTTTTCAACAACCGTTTCCATGTCACAATTTATTCATACATTTGTACTTTTCATGTGCCAATAGATCTTGGTGATGTCTTGTCGTTACCAACGGAATGGTATGAAAAATTAGGGAAAATTACAATATTTCCTTTTCTGGTTGATTTCCTTTTCTATTCGTGAGCTACACGGGTTATACATGGGGATATCGTGATCAATACGTCTGTAGAGATCATATTCTTTTCGATTGTAACTTTTTCTCATATTTCTTGTAATCAACAGGTATCTCACAGATGTAGGAGCCGCACCTCTGCTCCTCCATAGAATTCTGTTCTGCTTCTACACCTAATAATTTAAAAACGCCCAGGTATAGCTTAGTGGTGATGTTGCTGATCAGGAAGCAAAGGCGCTAGTTCGAGCCCCTCAAGGCTCTCCTCCAATCCATGTTGGAACGCCTTAGCTCCGCTATCTTTAAGATTGTAAGGAGAATTGACAAAATAAGGAATGCAGGCCGTATTGTGATCCGCACAGTAGGTGTGATAGGGTCATTTAAAAGAAAAACACAACACAAGATGGGAAGTACATTCATATGATTATAGTGGATGGATAGATATATAGTAGTAAACAGTACCGTCTACACTTCATATTCCACTACAGAGATAGATCAAGGCCTCTCCTACAAATCAGTCATGCTTATAACCTGTCGTCTTCTATTTATCAAAAGCTTGCCATCTGTTGTTTACCAAAAAATTAGACGTCGCGTAGGTGCTGAACGAATATCGCCGGCCCGGCGTAATTGTATGTAGTTGTATAAAAGGATAGAAGACAATGCTCTCGGCGTTGATCAATTCTTGAGAGATGCGCTATGCATTCGATTTCATTAAGCATCGTTGGAAGTGACTGAATGCATAACTGGCCTTTGCAATGACTAGCGGTGGCCTACCGATGTATCGATGTAGTGCTCCTATCCTCCCTTACAAGTCTGGTACCAATTTGCCGACCCCGGGGAGATAGAGGCTTGGTGAACTAGGGGCGCAGGAGCCGATCCCCGTGTTTTGCCGGGCACCTCCGACCACTGCGCTACATGCACCCCTGTAGCTGCGTAGTTGTATAAAAACTCAAAGGATAGTCTGTCACGAGATGAATTGCTAAGTACTCTGTGGTGACTGGAGCTCGTATGCGTTGCTTTGCTGGGCGCAATTTGTTGTGTTTTCTTGATTGAATCCCTTTGACTTCAGCGGTTCAAATGTAGTGAAGTGCGTTTCCGGCAAAAAAGAGTTCATTCGATCTACTCATTGACAAGAAATCGTAATACGAGCAAAATAACAGCAAGTAGGTATGTGTGACTATGGAAAATGAGTACTCCTACAGGAAAAAGTGAATATGAAGAAACGATATAAATGTATGTCTTATGCGACCACATTAAAGGAAGCCCATTACACATTCGCTGATGAGAATGTCAATTCAATACATTTCATTTATGTACTCTACAAAAGCGTGGAAAGCGAGAAGAGACTGCTCCCGTTACTGGTCACTCATGAAGAATATCGCAGTTCTCCAGCGGATGAGCTGTGGATCACAACACAGCTAGCTATCCTTAAAAAGAGGATCTTGCCTTCTATTACAATAATGGCAGCTTTGTGGTCATACAACTTCTTGTCTGACGTGTTAAAGTATCGTATCACATTTTTTTTTGTTGCAATGAGATGCCTCCCAACGGTTTCCCGCCTTATCGTGGCTGGTAGGTGTACAGCGGGGGAATTCGTCCCTCCGGCAGAGTATCCCAAGTTGAGGAGTCCGGAGTTTCAATCAGGAAGCCTAGCTAAGAGTAAACCAATACCAGGATCCGCCACCGTCCCGGTATCAAAGTCGCATGGTGGTAAATCTCCCTCTGATCCACAAGGGCTGCAACTGCCCGTGGGGGTGAAGACCTGGGTCGGACTTTGGCCGGGCTGACCTTGGGATTCCAGGAAACCAAAATGGTTTAACCAGCAAATCTCCGAAAAATGGAGATTATGCTGAGGCCCACACAACCAGTGAGGACGGGCCATTCAAGTATCAAGTATTAAGTAAGTACAATGAGATGATTTAGTATTCGTCGCTAGCTTTAAGTTCTATTTAAAAAACGACGAGGTGGGAGTGAAAATATGGAGCAGCACGGAACGG